GTCAACACATACTACTTTGAAATATTTCAGGGCACCTGACATTAAAAAAAATAGTTCCTTCACTATTTTAGCTCTATGAGGGCAAGAGTGTTCACTGCTCAACAGCTAAAATTATAATGTGAGTTAAAATTATAACGTGAAATAGTCTAAGAAAACCCTTATATGCTGAAGTTTGGTTGGGTGCAATTGCAGCTGTTGATATCATGTTACTTTATAGCACCTGTCCTGGGTTCAGCTATTAACAGATGAACATTAATCAGAGTATACTGATGAAGTTAGCACATAACCCTGATGTAAAAGGAAAGCCTATATAAAGGAAATCCAAACATTCAGAGAAGTCAGGTGGCTGACTGAAGCTAGTAGCAGAACCAGGAATATACTACTCATTCCAGAGTGTAGTACATATACCTGATCCCAGATTTCCCATTTCATCACATTCACTGTCAGTCAAAAATCTTTCAGTAGTGTGTTAGCATGATGCAATGAGAAAGGACTGAGCTAAAAAAAATCTCCTTCTCCACAGATGCTTTGTTACCTAATAAAATGTCCAGATCACCATAACAATTATTTTCCAAAGCAATAGGGCTAAATTTTGGTAAGTTTTCAACACCAGTGTTCATGACTGAAATAATCATGTCTATTCCTTTCCTTTCCTCAGCCCACAGGCTGACCTTAAGCAAGAATTTTGCTTTACCAATGTCTGAAATTCAGACCCAATAAATTAGCAGTTATTATAGTGTCTCTGGAGCTGGGTGTTTGGGGACTTCCTTATTTCCATAGAAAAAAGCAGTGGGAGCCCAACAGAGGCATTAGCAGAGACTGGCAATTTATTAAAGATGAAAACTATGATGAGAAGATCTCATAGGAACACTGGTGCTAGTTGTCACTCAGTTGTACCAACTGAAATCTGGAGTAAGACCACTTAAAGGAGATTGGTGTGGAGCACAAAGAACTTAAAGCATGGGCACTGTACTGAGATGATGCAAGAGCCCACAGCAAGTTTCATGAGGTACCAATCATTTTAGCAACACTCAGAAATGAAGACATTAAAAGTACACACTGTTTTCCTCTACTTTTGATATGATGACATTTACACAAAAGGGAAATAAAATGAGCAAGTTATTTTATGTGCCTATCAATTTTAAACTTGAGCTTTCTAGTACAGTTTAATACTTTAACTACAGAAAGAATGACAACCTGTTTTCTTCTGCCTTCCTCTAGCCTCCCCCCAAACACATACCCAACCAAAAAAAACCCAAATCAATTTAGTTCAGCCTCTTGATGTGTGTATCAAAGCTACTACATATAAATCTCAACTAAGGAGCCAGAGCTGTCAGAAGACTGTATGTGTCAGAGCTTTAGACTAGTTGTGTCCAAATAGCAAAATAAACCTACCGCAAGTGACAATCCAGAACAGTCATGAGACACAACATAGACAAGGAGGACATAGAAGGAAGAAATAAAAATTAAAACATCCACACACAAACATTAGTAAAAACCATGGAGAAATGACCTTTTTACAATAATTTATTAATTAACAATTTGCCTCCCCTAGAAGGAATCTAATCCTCCCAGTGGCCCTTGGAGTTGTATACTCTACCTGAAAAAATAAGCATTGCCTGCAATAGAAATGGGTTTCAAGACTGAAAACCTAACCTTATTTTCAACTCGTCTCCCACTTTGCCTCAACTGCATTTGCTCATCATCTGTATTATTTCATAAACAGTTTCTCATTTGAGTTGTATTCAGGGAAGTGGACATGTTCAAACACAAATATTCTAATGAAAAACAAAATTTTATTCCACTTTCTGTAATATCCAGTTATCGCGTATGACTGTTGAACTGAGTCTCTATGTCAAAAGGGTCTTTAGCTGCAGTAAGTTATTTGGGTCTATAATGATTTGGCATGGATGTCCATGTCAGCGTTAATACACGTAGGTCAGAAGTTCTCTTTAACAAACAAAACCAGACTAAGATGGAAATTACATTTCCAGAAGCTGATCCTTTCAATTTACCAAATGCTATTCCTTTTTAAGTTTTGTGTGCCTTGCAAGATGCCTAGTGCCTATCACCTATTATACACTCCCAGATGAAGGCGGAAGATAATTAGCACTTGCAGGTTCAGGCCTAACAATGACAGAACTAACCTTTTTTTGGGTTTTGATAATATATTAGATATTTGTTATGTTATGTTGCCCTTTATAATGGCATTAGATAGACATTTTGATCTTACATTACGTTTTTTTTATAACTAAAATTTATCCCTTTAAAGAGCAAAAAGGCATTCTTGTTATTCCCCTTTCTATTTTATGCCAGAACCTCTAAAGTGGTTCAATTCAGTTAATTGAAATATTCTACATTTATCATTGCAGAGGTATACTAAAATTTGCACTGTTAATTCAAGATTTAACTGTTAGAATAAGCAGTCATACAGAAAAAAAAAAATAGGTAGAATTTCACAAATTAGTAATGGAGTTGGTAAAAGTTACTGAATACCAAGAACTTTAAATCTGTACGCTATCAGGCTCCTATGTATGAAATTAAGGGGCCAATTTAAGTAGCATGGTTTTGAAATCCCAGACAGTGAAGAGGAAGCTTGGAGGTACAGTTGGTGATCCGCTTATTAAAGGTCCGACATTTATGTCAACTGAGAATCTACCCCCCTTAGGTTTAACTGTGTAAAACAAAACATATTAGTTAAATCCAAACTATCTGGGCAAAAGTATGTTTAAAAACCTATACAGAATATTTTGAATGGAATTATTTTAAAATATCTGTATGTGCAATATTTCAAAGGTGGAGCTTCTTGTAGGCAAGAGACACATGATTCATATTTTTATCAAATTTTCCTATGAAAAGGTAGAAATTAAACTCAATATTAATTACATAATGTAATTCTGCATTTTAAATACTTATTTTCCAAGAATATTTCCCATGGTCATTTATCCACGTCCTAATGAATATAATTAAAAACACTTAATAATATATTGTAAATACAACAGCCTTCATGATATGGAACAAATTCCATATAAATATCAATCATCAAATTGCACATTATTTGCTCTGCAACAAAGTATTAGGTTTGTTACCATTGGTAAAACGTAAAAAAACTTCTCTTCAAAATCTTTCCATGAACATAATCAAATAGTTCTTCCAAATTATTCTTGGTTCAGTGGGAGGAGTTGGCTAAGAGTAGCCCAGGGTAACCCAACAAATGATCTGACTTTCCATGCATTGCTGAGGGGGAAATAGCTGTAAGCATGACATGTGTATTTGTCTGAGAACCAAGACTGACGGTGTCAGATCAATCCTCACTCTTTCCTTCATCACTCACATGACAGTATGTACAGTGGTCTCTATAAAATGCTGATATATACCTTGAAAGTAATGAATTTTGCCAAGGTTTACTTTATTGGTGTAGTGTATAGACTAGAAAAGTTAACAATTGTCTAATGAATTGACATTTTAGTAGTGGCTACTGCAATTCAGTAGCACGAACAGGAACGAAACAACTGCATCTTCAGTTATTTTCTTTCCACACTCTCTACTGAGCAAGAACAACAAAACCTCACCTCTTGTCTGATAATGGAAACTGGAAATAGCTCTAATGGCTCTGTACCTGTGAAGCCTATCTATTAATATCCACCTCTTACCTGAGCTCCTTTCACACTCCACTCATATGGCCCAGCTGCAGCTAGTCATCAGACTTTTAACGCTTCCTCATCCACTCTCCTGATTTTGCTCTTCCCCTATCACATCTTATGTGACTGAAGAAGCATGCTAACTTGCTCCAGGGCTCTGAAGTCTAGCTTATGAACCAGACTGGTGGCTGCTCCATCACTGTACAGTGGCATCTCCCCACTTGCTCTGGACTGTTCCATGGGCCTCTTAACTCTTGTGCTCTAGGTTTCTCTAATCTTGATCAGCTGGCCTCACTCCTTGGGCTCCCAGATTTGGCTTGTGCTTCTGATCAATCTGCCTTCAGCTCAGCTTTCTTCTACACTAGATCCGAACTTGTGGAAGGAACTACTTATTCCTGATCATGCTTTTGCCCTTTCTCTGCGGCTGGATAAGCACTCCTGGAGTGCTCTGGCTCAACCTCGTCTTGGGAGCACAGACTTGACCATGCAATATCTTTACAGTTACTGGCTCCTACTGAAGAGGTTATTTTGCTATACTCCTGCTTATTCCTAACAGCTTGTTCCAGGAAGAACAATACTAAAGCCTGGTTAAAAAAGCTTAATTTTCTTTCAGGAACATATTAGTCAAGTCTATGGCCCTGAAAATCAGGTCCTGCAAACTTCATTCTCTTGAATGAAACAGATCTGAAGGACAAAGTTTTCTGCCTTTATGAAAATGATGCTGCTCAAAGGGCATTATGATGATCTTTTCCTCCAACTTACTCAGTTGACCTACAGCTACTAGTGTCTTTAATCTCCTCCTCTCTAGTAAAAAATGAATTCTCCCAGCATCGTGTTGAATGCCCCTGTGCTCTTCCTTTCTGGTTGTTTTCCCTTGCTCCTACACTTCTCATTTTTAATTCTATACTGTTGTTTCAGTCTCTGAAGAACTTCTGCTTTTGTGTAAAGAGAGATTTAGAGTTCAGAGCTATTTTTGTTTATCATGTAAGCTCAGTAATACTGCTAGAAAGATATACAAACATTGTACTAGGCCCTGGTCAAGTTCTTGAAAAAGGACAGTGAACACTGTTATTTTTGGGACAACTAAGATAACTCTCAATAAATTTGCCCCTTCCAGATGAGTCACTATATGCCTGCTCATTTTTTTTTTAGCAGAATAGGAAACTAGCTGATTGTTTTACCAGTGATACCACACCCAGATTCATCTTTTCTGATGCCATGAGATTGAGAAGATGCTGCCAATCAGCCCTCTCTTCACAGAGCCACTACTGAGGCAATATGAAGAACTTCTTCTAGACACAGCAAACAGAAACCTTTAAATGTAACTCAAAGAGTTCAAGAAAAGCAGAGGTACTTTACCTGGTCTTTCATGGTTTTCCCTAAATCTTTAACATCTTTCATGTTAATAGCATTTTTTCCTCCCTTCTCCTTTCCCTTCTTCTTGTTCTTCTTTTTGAACAAGCATTTCTTACAGAGACAAAAGCAGCAGGTAAGGATTAATAGGACTGCAACTATGGCTATGGCTATTAAGGCCCAAGGTGGCACTGGAAGAGAAAGAGAAACACACACAAAAAGAAGGTGGTAGACTGTTAGTAGGGTTAGATTCAGAAACAAGCACATTTCTCTCACAGTTAGGCCTTTTTCAATGAGAGTGCCTTGCAGAAATACCTTTCTAAAATATTCTGTCACCATTCTCCCAGCTGAGCATTTACACACACAATGCCCATTTAACACACCTATCTATTTACATGCCTGGTGACACATATCAAATTCACTTGCAGCTATTTTGATTAATCAGCCATCTGAAAACAATTTTGGACACTGCAAATCTGTAAAATGCTCAGCACATTTCGGCAATTACTTGCTTCTTTCTTTAACCATCTTGCCACCCTACCTGCCACTGTGGCTGAACTGGGTGGAACTGACTTGAAATTTCCCTTTTCTAGAATGGCATCTGATCCAAGCAGTCAGTTTTAATGACCAACAGTTCTCCTCTGCCCACTGCTCTACCTGAGAGACTTGCAGACTCCTCACAACAGATGCAGGTCAAAGTCACCAGCAAAGACTGACCAAGGACAAAGGACTGTCTAATCCAAGGACATTTGTCCTATTCATCATTGTGCCCTAACACTAGCAAAGTTTCAGTACAATAGCTATAGTCTCAGCTATATTTTCCTATAAAGAAAAGCATACGTTCTGTTTATTTATTCAGTCCAGGATGCTGGGCATGGCTGAAGCACGAATAAGTAACAGGGAACACTTGCTGTGATAAAATGGTCTTGTTAAAGATCAGAAGTTTTGGAAGCAAAAGGAATTACAACAGTTACACACAAGTACTCCATGAGGGAATTATCTTCATACAAACCAGCTTTAACGACCACCGATCCCCACATTTAACCAGAACACCTGACAAACCTTCAGACCCTGTAAACATTTTCTCAAAATCTCCAGATGCACTCGACCATCAGGTCTGCAAGATGCTCTCATTGCATTACCTGAAAAGTCTCTAATATGATATAGAGAGAAACCAAAGAGTGAATCAAATTTGACATGTTGACATCAGTGAATCACAGAAGGGAATAGACAGAGAAAATTAATTGCAAAAAGGAGGTAAGCTGAGTGTGAAGCACGGTCACAGGAGCTTCCACTACAAAATACCAGTTCAGGAAAAGCACCTACACCTTCTTTACTCTAGAATTAATGACCATTTTTTCTATCTTTTATTCAAATGTCCTTGGTGACAGATACAAAAATAATGCAGGAGAATATTTAAACAATATTTTTTGTAATACTTTTGCTCTTCCAAATGTTCAGTAAGTGCAGCTGCTGTAAAAGGGAAGCTGTACCATATGTGGAACAAATGAGAACTGATTACTAAACAAATGAATGTTAAAAGATAAACAGAGAAGAGATTAACAGCTGTTTAAGGGATGCATTTTATGGAGTCATCAGCAGCAACTCTGAAGTTAAAGTTGCATTAGATCTTCACTTATCACAACTTAAAATCTCTACTTCACGCATTAATGATTTTGTTTTGTCTTCAAAGCTGACATGGTAACACATTGTAGCACAACTGACTATCCTACAAGTAACACTATACTTCATATCTGAACAGGAGTTATGTTGATAAGAAATGAATGCTGCTGCCCAAATTTATCAGCTATTCAGTTTGCTGCCTTGTCAGAAGCGCTTGAAGCATGATGCCAGCAAATAGGGTGAGCAGCAAGAATATGAAAAGAGGTTTTGCCAGCAGGACAGCACTGTGGGAGGAAAGTGAGGAGGGACACACCTAATGCAGGTAAATTCAGAGAAACAAGGAATTGAGGAGACAGGGAATGTGGGTGTTTAATAGGATATACACATATGCATCCTATGGATGAAAAGCTTGTGTAGGCAGTGAAGTCAGGTGCCTTTTTGCTGAAACTGTGGTGAGAAGAGGTAGTCTGGCACTGCTGCCTTGGTTCTCTGGAGCATGAACAATGTAGGGTGCCTTGGGGAGCATTTGAAACACTTGGAGATACCTCAGCTTCTTCTTTATAATGCATTGTCTGCTCTCATCTGTTTGTAATTTAGTTCCAACCAATAGCTCTTGTGATGCAATTAAATGATTATCAAATTAATATCTGAGACACCAAGAATTACACAGAATTCCTTATTTATCTCTTCAGAACAAATACACTTCCCTTTTTATTAAACAACACATAAGCAATTTAGGGAAAAAATGGGGTAACCCAAAATCTGGCCATTTCCAAGTCAAATTAAACACATATGTCTGAAAAAGAAAAAAAGGATGGATTTTTTTTTCCCTAATAAAAGCACACTGTTTCTATCAAGAAGATGGCTCAACAAACACTGCCTTTGACAGATTGCCCAATAAGTGGATGCAATTGTTAGACTGAAGACAAGTGAAACATATAGTTATCACTGGCTTTGAAGCAGTGTTTGCTTTCAAAAACATTACTTATGTAATTTGAAATGTTATTAATCTTATATAATACAGACAGGATTTTCCAAAATTAGTAAAGACTTGGGAGAGTTTTCATATCTGTGCTTCCCATTTCATGCTGCTGCCAGAGGAGCTTGAATTCTAGAAACAGGTAAGTTTTTAAAACTTGTTTTCTGTAGGTGGTGGACTTGAGAATGAAATGGTGGACTTTCAAGGTGGACTTGAGAATGAAATGTCTGAAGTCACTAGTCACTTCAGAAGACTCACATCTACAGCCTTTAATTTTTCAGCTTTTAATCAAATGTATCTATAAAAACTTTACCAGCAGTATATGCACTTTCTTGGTTCTGCACAGTGGCTCACTTTGGAGATGCGTATTAGTTAATTCCAGTTGGACTCTACCCACACTTTTGTAAGATTTTCAGAGAATTTCATTTTTCCAGTGTTTAAGTGCACAACAAAGGGAATCTACAGTTTGAAGACTACCTTCATATATGTTAAAACAGTTTGATTAGGTTCAGTAGCGCAGTTTGAAACCTCAGAAGGTCTTTGACACAAACGACCGAACGAAAGACCTCTGTGGCAAATGAAGCAGCGTGGGTGATCCTCACCGCAGATCCTGACCAAGCAACCAAGGTGACAAGGAGCCATAAGTTTCTTGCACAACTTGTCTTACCCAGTGCTTGCACAAGGGGGTGCTTTGGAACAAGCAATACTCACCTATGTGATCAAGGAAAAGCTATTGATTTAAGGATAATTAATATGTGTGTAAATTTTCTGGTATTTCAGTGCTAATTTCTTTGTTCTGCTGCTGTGGGCAAAACCAGAATACTTATTTTGAAGAAGCTGTCATGAATTGCTACGTGATTCAGTGATTCCACAAGGCTCTTAAAGAAAAATCTGTATGAGGGGATCTGCTGAGTAAGAATAGTTAATAAATAAGGTCTTGAATTAGTCTTATTGATCTAATCCAAACAGGGTAGGCTCTAGCACTTACTCAGAAATGCAGGAATGAAGCCTATCTGTAAAAGGAGGATATACAGAAAATTAAACATACGGTTAACTTCAATAGGAGGGTCCTGAAAAAAGCAAGCTCTAGGATAGTGTTGATAAACCATTTTGGGTACCCATTCTGCATCCTTCACTCATGCTGAACATCAGTCAGATATGGCTGCAGCTAAGGAGTTGTGAGCTCTCTCATCCCTCTCTGTTGCTTCCTTCTATTAATGCCATCCAGGGTCATGCACATACTGCAGGTCATTTGATGCATTTGTAGCATCACAAATACAGCAGCTGCAGTGCACTTGCATTGTAAGTTCAGGCTTAGGAGTGCATTTATGAGTTATATTTCCAGACCATATCCATACACCATGCCTGGACTCATGTTATGCAGTGACCTGGGAGGGCACAATGGACTGAATGGGAGTATATGCTCCTAGAGCTCACCTAACCGTACTGTGACTACAAAAGGTGATTGGCCCATGGGAGCAAACCTAAACCAAAGCATTACCCCCACAAAGTTTGCAGTGTGGAGCTGGGTCTTCAGAACCAACTGCTTCACTCCACTGACTTGCTTCTTCTGCACTGCACTAAATATAGCTTGTATCTCAATCTGTCAGTAAGTATTGTTCCACTGAATATGCTAGATTCAAAGGAAAGGAAGTATTATTGAGTTATTCAATGTAAGAGCTACAAATGATGACTTTATATAAAGGTATCCTTACTTGGCCTTACACAAAATGCTTGGAGTAGCACAGGCCTTGGGTCTAAAACTGACATTTCCGTTAGATGATCTAAAATTATCAAGTGCCTTAGAGGACATTTGACTCCAGAGGAAAGACAGTAAGAGGGAAGTCACAAAACATGTAACAGCATCAAAGTGCTACAGACTGTAAAAGAGAATAAAATCCTTTACGCTAATATTTTTTTCCCTTTCTGTGCAATGTAAGAGGAAACTTTATTAACTTAGAATCCAAAGAGAGGGAAAGTCAAGGAAGAACTGAAGAGGGGCTGAATTAAAAAGTGAAAGCTTCCATGTCAAAAATGCTGTCCACTGACAACTCCCAATTAAACAATTAAGCAGCCCCATTGAAACTGTGATAGCAAAGGACTATCAGTCAATGGCAGCTTCCATACTATTCTGCAAAGAAGCCCCACGGCATGTCAGAATTGATAAATATTAATAATCTATGTTTCGGAGGGAGCATGATGTGTAACAGGAAGAGGCAACTGACAAATAATTGTGTGTGAAGGGCATTGCATTAATCTGAAGTTCTGGAAGCCTGAATATGAGAGCACTAGCATTTTTTATTTACTAAACTATATTTTTATCTTAGCTTTTGCACTTACAGCTTCTTATCAGGAAGCAAACCCCATATATAGCCACATTCAGACTTTTTGTATAGAAACTCCCCAGGGGCCACATTCTGGGAATCAATCTGACTTTCATTAGAAGTTACTTAAAGAAACAGAAAATGTACTGAGAGCAAGGACCCAGGTAATGTATACCATTATTCCCAGCAGAAGGAATACAAAGGTGATCAATGCAAAGAAAAGGAAATGCTGATACATGGTAAAATTACTTGTAAAAGAGGAAGA